AGTCAAGACTAACGACCTTGGCCTCTCTGCTGACCCACACCCTGGCAAAGGGAGGACAGCTCGGCTAGTACACTTTCTTTTTAGTTATACAAGACAGCAGACTCCATTTTGAGATATTTAAACAAGCATGGTATATATCTTATTCTAATTAAAATCACAGTCTTGTGGATGGACACCCATGTTGAGATTCACTGTGGTGTATTCACATATATACACATAGGAAAGTTATGTCAGACTCATTCCTCTGTCTCAGAATGCTTTGTCACTGCAGAAAGCTCAGACTGTATCTAAGACGGAACCTGCCGTGGACCATCATTACACCAAAACAGTCGTTATCAAGGGCAGATCAAATCTTGTTTACTTAATTTTCTTGGTCAAGGAGGCTATAAAGTGACAGATTCCTTCCTTGTTTCTGCTACTTAACTCTCCACTGCAAGGGAGACTCCCAGCCTGCCTCCCATCATGGTACAAAAAGTATTGCTGCAACTGCAAATTCCAAAGTCAAATGCAACATTGGGTCCATATGAATGAAGGGGAGATCTTTGTGAATGTATGCTATTCTCTTCCTTGAAATCTTTTACACATATGCCTTTATTACTATTTACGTAGGTGTCACTATTCTTTAAGCTTATTTTTATCTTATATAATTAAGGCATACGACATGATGTTTTCCACTACATACACAGTGATTACTGAGGTCTATCAAATTAAACTGTGGCCTTCCACGCTTACCATTGTGTATCGTATTTCTCAGTAAAACTTGCCCGGGAAGCCCAGCTCTCAGACCTATTCCAATGAGTCGGTCGATCTGGGAAATCTATAAGGAATCTTCATCATGTGCCAAGTCAGTAAGCTTTTCCAGCCATCTACTCCTTAAGTAAAACAGAAAGTGCAGCTAGGCGTGATGGCAAACACCTGTAATCCCAGCGGCTCGGGAGGCTGAGGCAGGAGGATCATGAGTTAAAAGCCAGCCTCAGCAACTCAACCAGGCCTTAAGCAACTCAGTGATGCCCTGTCTCTAAATAAAATGTAAAACAAAAGAAAACAAAACACCAAAACCAAAAGGTGGTATCTTGGAGAAAAAGGTGTGCAGAGGGTGGGCGTGGACAGTTTCAGTTTGGGACATGCTGATCATTAACTGTTGTGGGAGTCCACCACAACAGTGACTCTGGGGAGCTGACCTGACCTCTCAGTGCCTAGCATGCCATTTCTGTGATTGGAGAATAATAAATAAGAATTAGAAAACATGACAATTAGTTTCATCTGTTAATGTAGGGGAATGTTCTCTTTTTATCCAGAAGCATGGTGGTGGTTATGGTCAGGTACTCACCATGCAAAAATGGGAATCTCTCTACTTACCCACATATAGGCTTCGGGTGTGCTCACCACAGAGCATGTTTTGCAAATGCTGAAAGATTGGCAGGAAGGAAGAGGGGAAGGAAAACTAAGTAAATTGAATATAATCCGAGCTGACCACCTCCTGCGTGGAGCATAATTGTCTGTCTCCTATGGAAGACTTTACCTCTCCTCCTCTCATTCTTCAAGCTCCTGATAATAGGCCCTCTCTCTCTCCAGCCAGCCGGTAGGGCACGGGCTTTGGGATCCACTTTCCCTACCACTCTTTTCTCTTGGAGGTCACGTCCACTGCCCCAGAGTTCACTGAGTGCAAAAATGTGACTGGTGGGTGGTTAGTTGGCTCAAGAGGTCTACAGTTTAGGAGGGAGGACTGATTCAGATATCTGGATCTGGAATGGGGTAATGAAGCCACAGACACTTGGATCTGCATCAGTGATAGCCCAGTTATTCCCTGTGTAACTCTGGGCTGGTTATGAAACCTCTCTGTGGCCGTTACCTCACTTTATAAACATTTTTGTTTGGTGCTGGGGATCCAACCTAGGGTCGCCAACCTGCTGGGCAAAACCTCTGCCACCTGAGCTCCAGCCCTCATTTGGGGCTGGGGACAAAGTTCAGTGGCAGAGGGCATTCCTAGGTGGCGCAAGTCCCTGGGTTCCATATCCAGCACTGGAACACAAAAAGGCACCTCATCTATAAAACGAGGATGATGATCACAATCTGGGACAATTACTGATTTCTGCCTTCACCTACACCATGAGTATGCGACCATCTGGAAAGTATACAATGCTGTTCGTGGGTTAGTAACTTCCAGGGCAAAATGATCATCTCTTTCCATACATATGGATCTGCTTGGAAAGGCATGAAAGATGCCCTGCTTAGTTTGACCTTGTCGACAATGTTGAACATCTCCTGACTCCTGATGCAAGTCATGGCGAAGAAATTCCAGCATGATTTCCTGCTCTGGGAAACGCTGACCACAAAGGACCACCCTTCCCCATGCGACTAAAGATATGAGGACTGCACTCTGTCCACCCGGCCACCAGTCCCACACAACTCGGATATGACAGGCCCTCCTGACTCCTGGTCCACTGTCTGTCTCAAGGATGCGCTTAGTTTCTTCTCCTCGACTAGCTGGGCAGCGATAATCACTCCCCATCCAGTTTACCGAGAGCACCTCTGATCATATCAATAACCTCCGTCCCCGTAAATCTCCCCCAGTATAGCCTGTCTATTCCTCGCGAAAAAGCAAAGGCAAGAGCCACCCCGCCGCGACACTAGTATCCACATCCAGGGCCCTCTGCCTACTGCAGCAGCCCCAATGGGTTCCATGTCTTTGCGTGTGTGCGTGCGCACGCGCGTTCCTTCTCGGTGGGCTCCTTCCGCCCTTGCAAAAGCAGCTAGTGAAAAAAACCCAAATCACAGAGCGGGTATCCGGTCTCGCGCGCTCCAGACCAGAACGAGCCAGCCCGTCCCCGAGCAGAGCAGGTGGCCTCCCGTGACCCCCTCGCCGGTTCCCACGAGCCCCGCCTGTGACGTCACCTCCGCTGCCCGGAATCTCTTCCCACGGCCTCGGCGAGCATCGCCCGCGTCCCGGACCCGCGCTCTCGAGGTCGCGGGGCCCGCGGCGGTGCGCTGCCCGGACGGCGGGCGGCCTCGACGCCGCCGCTCCGCGGGGCCGAGAGGGAACGCGCGGGCCGCGACCCCCTACCCTGCCGCTCCGCGGAGCAACCCGGGGCCGTCCCCTTCCCGACTCGCACTGCAGCTGCCACAGCGAACCCAGGTCCCCGTTCTCCTCCTCCCAGGCGTCCCTGCCCTCTGACGCACGCCAGGCCCACAGACCCCGCCTTCTCTGGCGCGGCCTCTCTAGCCTCCGGAGGGCGGCTCCTCTCGGTGATCTTAACCCTTTCCTTCCAAGCGCCGCGGTGCGTTACCAGGGCTGAGGAGAGCTGGCGGCGCGCCGGCGAGCAGACGCCCGGACCCGCTCCGGAGAAAGACCGCGCGTGAGACAGCCCGAGTGACACCGAGACCTAAGGAGCCCGAGCGACAGAGATAGAGAGAAGCGGGTGGGAGAGAGGCTCGGAGAGACGGAGAGCGTGGGAGCCACAGAGAGACAGGGAGAGACTGAGAGAGACTGGGAGGCGAGGGGGCTGGGAGAGAGACAGACGCAGAGGGAGCCAGAGACCCCGAGAGACGGAGAGAGAGGGAGGCCGAGGGGGAGAGATAGAGTCTCCCTGGCACCGGCTGGGTGAGAGAAGGAGAAGAGAAGGGGGTGGGGGAGAGACTCGGAGAGAACCTCCTGGACCAGGCCAGGTGCGCCTGTGGGTCCTGGGACCGGAGTCCTCCTTTGGCCAGCCGTGAAGGGCGCTTTCCGAGGGGACCGTTGTTTTTCTCAGACGCCCCATCTCGTCCTTATCAGAATGGCGGGTGGACAGTCTGCGTGTGGCGTATTTCTCTTTCTCTAGCTGGGGCCCGGCGTTTTGAAGCCCAGAGATAGGACTGAAACTTCCTCTGGGCAAGCTTAAGCAGCTGGGTGCGATCGGGCTCGAATCCGTGTTCAACAGGTTCAGAAATAACCTGTTTCCTCGGTATCGCCTCCCACTCCGCCTCATCTCCCACCCCACCATAGGAGACAAAAATCTCTGAAGTGATTTCAAGGAAGGCGACATTTCCCAAATGGAAACGTCAGAGAAAGTCTTCCCAGGATGCGTGAGAGCCAGAGGGCTCGGGATGTGACTTAGAAGCAGGCAGGCTCTTAGTAGGCTCTGTGATTCCTGCATTCGCATGCAAGTGTTTGGACCTTTTCCATCAAATCACTATGCGAGCTGCAGTGTGTGATGTTCAGAGAGGGAGGGCATCTTTGGTCGTCCCGTTAGCTGCAGTGCAGCCGATCCTGGGCAGTTGACCTGGGTGGGATCAGAAATTTGGTGTCATGATAGGCTGACAGATTTCCACTGGCACTTCCCTTGCGGTTTCCCTAGATTCACACGGTCCTATGGGGTGTGTTGCATTTGTGTGTTGACCTGCGTGTGTCAGGGTAGTGTTAGTTTTGTCCAAGAAGGGCCAGTGAGTGGCCTTGCTTGGCTGAGCCTCTTGGGGTACCAGCAACAGGGAGAAAGGCCAGAGAGGAAGCAGTTCTCTGTTTTCAGGAGCAGAATCCCAACAGCCCCCTGTCAAAGTGTCTCTTAGCCTGGACCATCACTGGCATTTGAGAAAATGCTCTGGGAATGATTTTCGTAGGGAGGCGCTGGTCATGCTCTCTGCAGTCAGATGTCCATTACATTGGAAATCAGACTTGGGATTGTGTGACTAGCTGAGTTAAAACTAAGCCCCAGATCCATTTTGTTGACCCGGCGTGTGGGTGGCAGATAAACTAAAGATAAATGTTCGATTCTGGTGCGTTGCAAGGAAAATTTATGTTCTTAGAGTAATGATCCCGTGCTAACACCCCATCTGTATTTGATATTTATCAGATTATGAGAATTTAAAGGTAAGGAGAGCCACGGGTAAGTATAAGATGTCGGATGGAAACTGAAACAGGGGACAGTAGTGAGAGGAGAGATTGGTGTGATGAAAGGTACAGAGATATTTGTATTTTAACAGACCTAGCGGAGAAATGGCCAGCATCACAACCTAGCTCCGTGACCTTGAGTGAGTGGCTGAACATTTCTGATCCTCACGAACCTCATCTGCAAGTAAGGGCGATAATACAGATTGAGCCTCCGTCATCTGACACTCCACAATCCGAACTGTTCCCAAACCCCAAAATTTCTGAGAGTGGCTGGGGGTGGGGTAGCTCAGTGATAGAGGGTGTACTTAGCATGCCTGAAGCCCTGGGTTCACTCCCCAGTGGGTATCCACACATACACACAGGCGCCTTAATTAAAGATATCATATGAAACTATCTTTAGGGTATGTGTGTACAAGGTGTGTATGACTCGTAAATGAATTCAGTGGGTCCCCCTCCCAGAGAATCTCATTAGGGTATATGAAAATTTTGCAAAACCTGAAACACTCTGAAATACTTCTGTCCCTGAGTATGTCAGGTAAGGGATAGGTAACCTGCGTTTTCCCTAGGGCACCACGCCCATGGAGAAGCCCTTCCTGACCACGTGGGCCTCGGGGCCTTCTCTGAGTTTTCAGCTCCCCCAGCTCAGGTCCTCTTCCTCATCTTCAGTTTGGCTCCCTGCCCCCAAAGACTGGGAGCCTGCTGAGGACTCTTATCCTGCAAGGAGGATAGAGTGTGCAGGAGTGGATGCAGAAAGTATATCAGCTTCATTTTCTGTCCATGCAGAGAGTGTTTGTGTCTTTTATCCCCACACAGTAGAGAGTCCAGAGCCATATACTATGAGCACAGTAGCCATGTATTCCCCTTGGTTGGGAATAGGAACTGTCAGACCAGCTGTTACTCGGGTGGGAAAAAAAAAATATATACACACACACACACACACACACACACACACACACACACACACACACACACACAGTGTGAATGAGCCATCGTGGCAGGTCCTGTGCTTGAATTTCTGCTTATTCAGAGGAGATGGGGTGAGAAGCATTGTGTCTTCTATCTCTACTCTCTTCTTAGGTGTCTAGTAACAATGTAGCGCCTAGGATTTTTTTTTTCCTTCTGCTTTATATTATACCTTAGAATGTTCCTTACTGGGGCTGAGCTCTGTTCTCGGGGTATGGCTGCTTTGGGTACCTCACTGAGGGGACCGCTGAACAGAGTGTGCCATCGGTAAAGAAGTGTTTGGTGAATACACCTCACCATTCAGGTTTTGTTGTCTTGTAGGTGAGAGGCATAGATCTCACTCGCGATGGCATCAGCAGCATTGACGATGTGAACCTAGTGATCAGTGACCCGGGTGACCAGGTGAGCTCTTCACTTTGCAAGAGGAGACTTTTCCCTTGTCTTCCTCCTGCTGCTTCAGCCTCTCCTCCTCTTCACCCTTTCCCTGCCCCCACCCCTTTGAACTCCCACTGTGGTTCTCTGTCTGTGTCTTCTGGGCCCACCTACAGGAAGATCCCAAATGCCATGCCGGGACCGCGTTTCATTGGTCTTCATTTTCTTCTTTCATGCTGGAAAGCGGGCATCACTGAGTGTTGGCTAATGTCCATGTTCTTTTGCAGCAGAGCCGCTGACAAGACTATCCCTCTCTTCCTGATAGAGGAGAATACAGCTAATCCGTGCAAGTGACAAAGATACAGAACAGCAGCGTGGCACTGCATTGTCTGGAACTCAGACTCCTTTTACCCTGGCGTTGTATAAGGTGGGCATACGCTTTTCAGCAGACAGTGACCCTGCACTGATCTCAGCCATTTTTGGTAGAGTCTTGCCATTTCTGGGAAACCATCGTAGTATTAGGTAGTTGATAGTAGTATGTGAACTCAGTTCTTCCGAACTGAAATGGACTCATTTTATAAGGATATGTCATCACATTAGGCAGAGTTGGAAAAAGTATCGTGTGTCCTTGTCTCAATCGTCAAAATCAGCACAGCTCTCTTCCCAGTGCTCATCACCCCCACACTGTATGCATTTACTTGTTCGGCTATTTACCTTCTGCTCTCCCGGGCTAGAATGCAAGCTGATGAAGGCACGAGGTTTGAGCAGGCTTTGTTGAGGACAGCATTCCAAGCACCGAGAACAGAGCCTGGTACCAGTAAGGGAAGGTAAACATTGGCTGTGACAGTTGCCTGATCCCTGGACCAGCTCTGGACACGTGGGCCAGCTCCAGGACTTTCCTGGCTGGCCT